GGTCTGAAAAATGGCAAATGAAATTCAACACCAGCAAGTGCAGCGTACTTAATATTGGAAGAACAAATACTTATAATGTATACAGCCTTAACAACATCAACCTAGAGAAGTCGACTTGTGAAAAGAGACCTAGGGGTACTTGTAAGCGGACCTACGGCCTAGAAAACAGTGCGTTAATGTTCGAAATAAGGCAAACAGAGTATTGGGTTTATATCTAGAAGTGTAAGTAACAAGAGTGCAGAGGTCTTATTGCAACTATATCTTGCGCTAGTCAGGCCGCACCTCGATTATGAGGTTCAGTTCTGGTGCCCTATTATAGAATGGATATAAATTCACTAGAGTCGGTGCAGCGAAGAATGACAAAAATGATTCCGGGACTTAGAAACCTTTCCTATCAGGATAGGTTAAAGAAACTTAACTTGCATTCCCTAGAAAGACGAAGAGTGCGGGGAGATATGATAGAAGTATTTAAGTGGGTGAAAGGAATCAATAAAGGGGATATAGATAAAGTTCTTATAATATCCGTGCAGGATAGGACTCGGAGCAACGGATTCAAGTTGGATAAGTTTAGGTTTAGGAGGGAGATAGGAAGAAACTGGTTCACAAATAGGGTGGTGGACGAGTGGAACAAGCTTAGCAACTTTGTAGTAAGTGCAGGAACTCTGGAAAGTTTCAAAAGGAGGCTAGATAGATTCATGGATGATAGAGAGTGGTAGTAACTCTCGACAGGAGCTGCCATGCACAGGCCAATTGCAGACTCCTTATTTTCTTATGTTCTTAATTCAGCGAAGCATCAGGCTACCACATTGCACCAATAAACGATGGGGGGGGCGTTCGGTATGAAGCCAAGGCTACGACTTCCATTGAGTCAGGAGTAGGGGTTGAGGGTGCATCGGAACTATGGCGCTTGAGTGTACATTGAAATCCCCTAGGTAGAGGATCTCTGTGTTGGGGTGTGTGAGTAGCAACGACTCACGGCAAAAAATGACATAGTCAAAGAGTTCCAAATACTAGTTGGTAGAGTTGGGAGAACAGTATAGGAAACGAAGAAAAATGGTCATAGTTGGTAGAGATATTTTGAGCCAGATGACATCATAAAGGGAAGATTCAAAGATCCGTGAGTAGAGCTATAGGTGTACGTGTGTTGCAGTAGGCGCAAGCACCTCCCTTAGAACGGAAGAGGTATAAAGGTTGTTGTTGGAGACTTGAAAAGGTTTGGGTGAAGCTGCTTTGGTCAGTTAAAGTTCGGAAAGTAGTAAGAGGTCGGGGGAAGAGGTTAATAGATGGTGCTCCACAAAAGGAAAATTGGATCTCAGGCCTCGAATGTTGGAAAAATGAAGTGTGAAAAAAGTCGATCCCCCAGCAACCGCGGTGGCGTGAGTGATGAATGAAACTGAAGAATATAACGTAAATTATTGAGGAATGATACGTAGATAGGAGGGGTGAATGAAACTGGTGAATGAAACGTAAATGAGATTGATGAATGAAATCGGCAGATAAAACTGGTAGACGAAACAGAGGAACAGAGCAGAATAGACGAAATAAATATATATTGCATCTTATTGTTGCACCTTTCAATGTGGAGATGTGCAGTGTGATATCTCAAAATGTGTGTAAGATTAGCCAATGGAAATTACGCTTGTTGTGTGGATCAATAAGCAGGAATCCTTCCCAGTATTGGCTGCCTGGTTAATCTGAGGAGAAGGTTATTCATGTGTTAATCCTCTTTAATCTATCCACTTTAGTTAGCAATGAAAAGATTAGAATGACACTTACCAGTCATGTCTATCAGCTGTCAGCAGTTAGGTGCTAGTGAAACAATTGAAAACTGTCATATCGTGTATTTGATTTCACATTATGACACTGACTCTCATTTCTGACGCCCAGGTCACACATGAGGTCACTAGTGTCACATTAGGTCAACACGGTGTCACTAGTGCAATACCAGGTCAATACAAGGTCACCTAAGACACATCAGGTCATACACGGCGTCACCAGTGCTACACCAGGTCACACACGGGGTCAGTGTTACACCAGGTTACAACCGGGGTCACCAGTGCTACATCTGATCACACACGGGGTCACCAGTGCCACAGCTACTTCTTACACAGATAAAAATAACTCAGACAAAATGTTTTGTTTACAATGAACAGCGGAACTAACTGTGTTGCAATAAATGCTAGAATGTTTCACTAAGGTGCTGTTGTTTGCTATTTTACATGATGTGAAACATGTGTGAAGAGAGCCAGGAAACATGAAACACGGAGAAACAGAGACACACATGACCACAAACATCGCTTCTAACCTTCACTACTGAGTAACCGTAGGTATAAAATTATGAAACCTGGGCAAACTTGCTAATATTTTGACATGCTATTTCGTCAGTGTTTCATATAGGGCAGAAAATAAGTAATGCCATGCTTTTTTTATTTCTTTACATAATGACTGAAGATGCTACAATCATTTTTCTAACAACCAGTTCCAAAGCAAGTGAGAAAAAGTAATATAAAACGATAGACGAGAACCACAGGTGTGACGCACAGACCGTCACACACAACATGGGAATGACACCATAGTAATGACCGGGGCGCCCCGAACACCGAAATCCATGTCAACCTTCACTTGTACTGAGTGACAGCGAGGCTCTAAAAACTGAATATGTTGACAGACATAATGAAGATCGATTTACACATCTCGTTCATAACATATACTTGTTGAGCGTCTAAACACTTGAAGTATATTGACATTATAGAGAAGTGTTCGTGGATAAATGTATAAATATTGCAATACAGTCAGGGGAAGGTTGTGGACAGCGGTGTCTTGACCATGTGGCGGTAACTCCCCGTTTTATACTTAAAGACCCTACTTAACATGGCTGACTGTTAAGTAGGATTTGAAGGCCCTTAGGGTTAACACACGTGGTGTTTGGTCGACACACACAACAACACATTACCAACACACACGCCTCTATACAGTGAAATATATATATATATATATATATATATATATATATATATATATATATATATATATATATATATATATATATATATATATATTTACGGAAGACGACAATTGTGATACAAGCGAACCTTACAGGCAAGTCACAGAGGTACAGGTGATAATGTTCTACCAGCATGGTACACTTCAGGTAAGACCACATCCACCTGGCTGACTTAATCTTGCACACAGGGTTCGTGCTAGACGCCTGTCATCACTTCACAGTCTCGAGAATATTACCACAGGGGTCTCTGAGGCTCAATGTCCAGACGTGGGTGTGAGTGAGCCGCAACATGCTTGAGACACAGCGACCTGCACTGTGTCTCCGTGTGTACGACTCCTCCTTGCCTCTTCTCCACTTATTTACTTTTTTACTTTTATCCTCTTCGCCACTACTATAAACTATTTATTTTACTCAAATTTCCCTTACAACACATATACGGAAGTAGACATTAATATAAACACGATGGTAGATGCCAGTTCGCCTTGATTAATGTTACAGATTATAAGATTGGGTTTAGGCAACAATGCCAGTGACGTGTCACGATGAACGTTCACACACGACACAACAGTTCAACAAATATCTCACAATTATAATACAGAAAACATATCTTCAAAGTCCTTAAAACCTATAAACTGTACAAAAATCTTAAAATTGATATTCAAAATATCTCTTTGTATTTGCTGTGACAAAATATGATTTTTTTCATCCATTTAACAGTGGCACAGTCACAACAAGAAACAGCCATACCTGTCACTATTACTAACATTACAGGTAGAGCACGCATGTTTATCCTACGTCGCAACTACAGCTGAAGTCATAAATCTGCACTTAAAAGAATCAACAAAAGCAGGAAGTTTTTTCGATGTTGATCACCAAAATGTATCTATTTACATAAGGAATGAAACATATACCCATCTTTGTTTGCGCGACTACACCATAGAAAACTGAAACACTGCCCGGGATGTTGACGATAACTATACTGTAGTAATTTGATGCACCACGATACTAAACACCTTGAGGACACCTACTGAAACATTCCACATTGAAGAACAATTCTACAACTATTGGTGTACTGGATTTTTTCTCTCATTCATAGAGTATTTATACAGTTCTTTATCACACTTTACACGTCTGTTTACTAACGCAATAATTAACCATACACTCTTCATATGTATATGAGGAATCAATAACATACTCAGTCCTGAATATGAACACATTATTTACCTTACTAGTAAATTAGAGTCGAGCTAAGTACACTACTACAATACAAAACAATGAATTAAGTAAGAGTTCATTGTACAGTATAAAAAAAAAATAAGAGGCAAAATTTCATGTTTTTTCCTGATGTGGGTTAAGTAGCATGCACAGACAAACAGACAGAAAGACATTCACACTACCGGCAACCTATATATCCATAAAAAAATACGAGTTAAGCATGATGGGTGTGTGTGTGTGAGGAGTAAGGAGGGGGCAGGAAGTATCGGGAAGAATGGAGGGGAAGGAGAAAAAAAGATGTAGGGCTTATATACGATAACAAATTACAGGTATTTATCTATGCATGTCAGTGTGAGTGATTTGTATGTCAGTATGGCTGCAGTGTAAGTGTGTAGTATATATTTGTGTATAGTTATGTACATACAGTTCAAGTCTCTTATACAAAGGGAGAGGGAATTGGAGTCCAGATTGTACGGAGGGAAAGAGGTTGTAGAGAACTGAGGAGGGTGTAGAGAACTGAGGAGGGTGTAGAGAACTGAGGTGGGTGTAGGGAACTGAGGTGGGTGGAGAGAACTGGGGTGGGTGTAGGGAACTGGGGTGGGTGTAGAGAACAGAGGTGGGTGGAGAGAACTGAGGTGGGTGTAGAGAACTGGGGTGGGTGTAGGGAACTGTGGTGGGTGTAGAGAACTGAGGAGGGTGTAGAGCACTGAGGTGGGTGTAGGGAACTAAGGTGGGTGTAGGGAACTAAGGTGGGTGTAGGGAACTGAGATGGGTGTAGAATACTGAGGTGGGTGTAGGGAACTGAGGTGGGTGGAGAGAACTGGGGTGGGTGTAGGGAACTGAGGTGGAGAGAACTGAGGTGGTGTAGAGAACTGGGGTGGGTGTAGAGAACGGAGAGAACTGAGGTGGTGTAGAGAACTGGGTGTGGAACTGAGGTGGGTGCAGAGAACTGAGTGGGTGTGGGAACTGAGTGTAGGAACTGGGTGGGAACTGTGCAGAGAACTGGAGGTGGGTGTAGGGAACTGAGGTGGGTGTGGAACTGAGATGGTGTAGAGAATTGAGGGGTGTAGGAACTGAGGTGGGTGTAGAGAACTGAGGTGGGTGTAGAGAACTGGGGTGGGTGTAGAGAAGGTGTAGAGAAATGAGGTGGTGGGAACTGAGGTGTGAGAGAACTGAGGTGGGTGTAGAGAACTGAGGGTGTAGAGAACTGAGGTGGGTGTAGAGAACTGAGGTGGGTGAGGGGAACTGAGGTGTGGGAGAACTGGGTGTGGGTATAGAGAACTGAGGTGGGTGTAGTGAACTGAGGTGGGTGGAGAGAATTGAGGTGGGTGTAGAGAACTGGGGTGGGTGTAGGGAACTGAGGTGGGTGTAGAGAACTGAGGTGGGTGTAGGGAACTGAGGTAGTGTAGGGAACTGAGGTGGGTGTAGAGAACTGAGGTAGGTGTAGGGAACTGAGGTGGTTGTAGAGAAGTGAGGTGGGTGTAGAGAACTGAGGGTGCAGGAACTGAGGTGGGTATGGAGAACTTGGGAACTGAGGTGGTGTAGAGAACTGAGGTGGGTGTAGAGAACTGATGTGGGTGTAGAGAATGAGTGTAGGGAACTGTGGGGGGAACTGAGGTGGTGTAGAGAACTGAGGGGTGTAGAGAACTGAGGTGGGTGGAACTGAGGTGGGTGTAGAGAACTGAGGTGGGTGTAGAGAACTGGGGTGGGTGTGAAGAACTGAGGTGGGTGTAGGAACTGGGTTGGGTGTAGGGACTGTGTGGGTGAGAGAACTGGGGTGGGTGTAGGGAACTGGGGTGGGTGTAGAGAACAGAGGTGGGTGGAGAGAACTGAGGTGGGTGTAGAGAACTGGGGTGGGTGTAGGGAACTGTGGTGGGTGTAGGGAACTGGGTACGAGTGTAGTGGGATGAGTGTAAGATTTAAGAAGAGGGGAAGAGGGTACATATACAAGTTCATTTAAAGGGATAATTTATAGGGATAGAATGGGGGATTACTACAGTAGAAGGTTATTACAACGAGTGCCAAATCTTTCCCGAAAACCACGACAGTGTTTGAGAGTGACTGGCTGGCTGGCTGGCTGGGAGGCTCAGACGTGTGTCCCGTAGTGAGAGTTGAGCTGACTCAGTTCTGGAGGGACGAAATCTTCTGGTTTGATCATGGCCTTGATACGCTGTGGGCGAGATTAGAAGACGTGAGAGATTGTATTAGATAGATAGATAGATAGATAGATAGATATTCAATACAATCGTCATACAAGTTCACACTGTTACGGCAAAAAAACAGTTGGCTCCATTCCTGCGTTTACAACTTAATATTGCCAATCCTCTCTCTCCTTGTGGTGTGAACCCCGTACTTTGAAGTGTGAATTCTACAGTAAGCATTTGCTAATGAGCGGGAGGGAGAGGGAGGGGCTGTGTTGAGGCAGGAGTGTTTTTGTGGGGGGTCGGAAAATGTATATCGGATGTGAAAGATTACAATGTAAAATAGGATGAGAGGGGCGGATGAATTCATGTTTAGAGTAAGGTGTTCCCGTGCAAAATGGGTCATTTATTTGCAAATCGATTATGAATATGTTTGAATCTATATCCTACATAAGCAGCGAAGTTTCGTTAAGCCCCTTGACTACTAGATGGAACTTACTTAACTGAATAAAATCGTCTGTAGGTAGCCAGAATAAAATAAATAATAAGACATAGTAGTAAAAGGAGTAAAGAGCAATCAAAACAATCAGGAAGTAGACAACCCATATTTATTGTAATAGAAACGATTTGAAAAAAAATGAGTTGACAGCTGTCCGGTATAGATCAGCAAACCAGTATGATAAAATGGGTAAACAGATGACATTATTATTATTATTATTATTATTATTATTATTATTATTATTATTATTATTATTATTATTATCATTATTATTATTATTATTATTATTATTATTATTATTATTATTATTAATTTTATTATTATTATTATTATTATTATTATTATTATTATTATTATTATTATTATTATTATTATTATTATTATTATTATTATTAATATCATCTTCAAATGTGCAGCTTTTGGTGCAAAAAGTTATTGTTATTGCTTAATGGTCTTACATAATAGAGCTTCTTGTGTGTTGAGCACTGGAGGGAACACTCCACCACCCTACCTGTCTCCACCACCCAACTCTGGGTTGCTAGTAGTCGAATCACTGCACACAAATTATAGAATGTTGTGTCCTCAAATTTCGATGAGGCAATTGTGATAAGAATAAAAATTTAATTTGACACTCAATGTTTCAAGCAACAGTCATGAACTTATGAAGTTTAATCATATTTGTCTGATAATACCTTATCTGGGCACTATATCGCATGGGGTAAGATCCCTGGACGTTTGGGCCACAGACCAAAAATTTCCTTACTGTAAATAATCCCCTTAATACCACCTTGTAACTTTCCAGTCAGGAGCCTTCGGGTTATGTTAAATTATTTTGTTCTTATTTATATTACTTTGACCCATGACCCAAAAGTCCTAACCACCCTGGCCCAGACGTCCGGGGGTCCTGGCCCATGGCCCAAACGTCCTACATTCCGCCAGAATATAGAGATAGTCGAGAAGTAATATAAAGTGCAACAATTAAGGCACAGAGAATGTGTGGAAAATGGCATATATTCTAATAACACCTAATATTGTGAACAAGACTAATAACTCCCACACCCTGGTTGGATGAAATACCGAGTATCACTTGTTTTTGTATTCTCATCATAATTGCCCGAGGGAAATGAGAGGACACAACATTATTCTACTCTGTAAGTTGTCCGTAGTGATTCGACTACCAGAGTAGGAGTTGGGTGGCGGAGTCAGGTAGGGTGGGGGAGTGGGGAGATGAGAGTTCCACCAACAGTTCCGTCCACGGCTGCAGCCCAATGAACAACATAGCAACTTTGCATCATAAATTTCACTTTTGATACTGCTACAACTACTACTGCTACTACTACTACTACTACTACTACTACTACTACTAATGACAATAATAATATATATATTTTTTTAACCCATTTAACCTCACTGTTCGGTACAACTGAACTATGTGGTTTGCTGATTCTATACCGCACTGCTGCCAACTGAACTATTTTTTCACATCGTTAATATTACCATAAATGGTTCTAGGACAACTGCCCCCTATACAATTACCCCCGGACAATTGCCTCCCCGACAACTGCCCTCCCCCGGACAATTGGCTCCCATTGCTCGAGTGAATCTTATGTACAGCTAACCAAACCAAACCAAACCAGACCAAATCTAACCTAACCTAACCTAACCTAACCTAACCTAACCTAACCTAACCAACGTCACTATCAACCAGATTATTACAGGAGATCCAGCACCTCCTAAGAGGAAACTTTATCATGATTCAACAGCCAGAATAGCAACCATCGTACAAGACTTAAAGAATCTCTGTGTACATAAGCCAATAAATAAAACATGAAAATAAAGTATTAATTCTGAGTTATTTTCTTCTCTCTATTTAGTTACTTTCATGTTTTGTGCCAGTTAATCACTGGCGATGGGAGGCAATTGTCGGGGGGCAATTGTCGGGGGGCAATTGTCGGGGGGCAATTGTCCAGGAGACAGTTGTCCTGATACCTCAATAAATATGGGTTGTCTACTTCCTGATTGTTTTGATTGCTCTTTACTCCTTTTACTACTATGTCTTATTATTTATTTTATTCTGGCTACCTACAGACGATTTTATTCAGTTAAGTAAGTTCCATCTAGTAGTCAAGGGGCTTAACGAAACTTCGCTGCTTATGTAGGATATAGATTCAAACATATTCATAATCGATTTGCTCATAAATGACCCATTTTGCACAGGAACACCTTACTTAATTCATGAAATCATCTCCCTCTTATCCTATCTAACTTTAGTATTTTCATCTGGCTAGTGCTAGGCGATTACACTCAGCTGAGGAAATCCTGCCCGTATTGTCAAAGTGATATTTTGCAGTGAAATCTATCCCAACTGATATACGCTACACTTTCTCTCTTCACCCCCATTACCCCATCTCTCACCCCACCACAGAAAGAAACCTACCCTGACACACCTCTCCCCTCTCCCTCTCTTTCACTAGCGAATCCTTCGAATTCTCACTTCTGTAGTTCGGGGTTCACACCTCAGGGAGAAAGAGGAATGGCAATGCTGAGTGGTAAAAGCAGGAGCCAATTGTATATGGATAGGAGAGGTATACAAACAATGGTAAGAGAGAGAGAAGTTATGAATTATCATAGAATATGGTCAGGAGTGTTGGGAATATCACAATATAATATTGACAAATATAAAATAATAGGATTTTGCTCTATCTGTTGTTAATGTTACTGTTGATCATAATCATAGAGCAGAGCATGATAGAATTGATTAAGAAGTTATATAAACCCAATACACCGAGTTGATGGACTGGTGTAGTCACTAACCAAGTCACGCACTGAGAGAATTTAGTTGATGAAGCAGTTATAACATTGTAACATATATAAATCCTTATTACATGAGGATTATAATATTGGAAGATGCAAACACACACACACACACTCACACACACACACACACACACACACACACACACACACATACACACACATACACACACACACATACGAGCCGAACTGATCGCTATAAGAACAGCTCAATCCCTGTAGTTTGAGCTTCTCCCCACCTAGTTATTATATATATTTGTATCACTTATGTTACTTGTAAATTATTTGTAAATTAAAAGACCCATTCCCCAATTATGTAACTGTATATTTTCAGCCTTCCGGCTGACATGCTCTTTCAATAAACCGTTAATTATTATTATTATTATTATTATTATTATTACACACACACTACTACTACTTACTACTTTGCTGTCACTCGGAATCGAGTTTGACGATCATCCAGATATGATACAATGATATTATTAAGGATGTCACTTTCGTTGGTGAGCTCTGAGGTGACTCGAAAGGCCGATACGGGACCTGCAGGGTCGTCCACAGATGTTGCACGTGTGGAGGACTACATTTAGTGCGGAAGGGGCGGCGGCAGCGTCTTTCCGGCGCTGGCGCTTGTCTGCCTTGGTATGTAGTCGGTGTAACTCGAACGTATTGACACCTCGTGTGGTGCTCCTCCAAGCGTTATGGTGTGGAGTGATCGTCTCTCAGGTGAGGGGGTTGATTTGGTACTTTTTCAGGTTTGTCTGAAGACTATCCATACATGTATACCTTTTCTGTTGCCCGCCAGCGCTACGTTTACTATTCGTTAGGTGACTGTAAAGTAGCTGCTTTGGCAGTCTACTGTCGTTCATGCGGGTAACATGGCCAGTCCAAGATAATGCCTCGATGCTCCTACAGTTGGTGTCAGCGAGAATACTGGCATTTGTTTTCTTGTCTTCCCAGCGAATTCGGAGGACGGAACGTAGACTACGTTGGTGAAAGTTTTCAAGTGCAGATGTGCCTCCTGTATGTGACCCATGTCTCGCTGCCATTTAACAGGATGGGAGGACCACTGCTCGATATACATGTAACTTTGTAGATAATTTCAGCGCTCTACAGCTGAAGACATGGGTACGATGTCTGCCAAGGGCTTGAGATGTAAAACTGATCCGATGTTGAATCTCTTCATCGATGTCCACGATGGTGGACATATGGGAGCCGAGATAATGAAAGTGGGTAGCATTAGAGAGGGTAGTACCGTTAATCTGCAAGAAAAGTGGAGGTGTGGGTGAACCAGGGGCAGGCTGAAAGAGAATCTGCATCTTACATACATTCCCCTCGAGACCGAAGTATACATACATATCTGTGTAGGTGTTCAAGATCTCCTGTAGGTGACGTTCAGTGTGAAAGAAGGGAGTGAGGTCGTCTGCATACTGAACTTCAGTAATGGAAACTGTGGACACCATTATTCCTGCCTGCAGTCGTCTTATGTTGAAAAGACCCTTCATCCGGTACTGAATGTCAACCCCGCCACTAAATTAGCACGGGCATGAGTAAGGAAGGCAGCCAAGAAAATGGAGAAGAGAGTTGCTGCCAGCACACATACTAATTTTACTCCCGTTTGGATGGGGAAGAACTCAGACTGGGTGCCACTGTACAGGACACTGCTGTTCATGCCATTGTAGAGCTGCCTCGCAATGGCGACGAATTTTGGTAGGCAGCCGAAACTGCTGAGGGTCCGCCAGAGGGCTTCCCTTGGTAAGATAGATGAAGGCCATGTACAGGTCACGACGCTGTTCTGTGCACTTTTCCTGCATTTGGCGGGCAGGAAGATCATATCAGTAGTGCCACATGGTGGTCTAAATCCACATTGAGATTCTAGGTGGAAGGTTTCCTCCTCAGGAAGAAGTCTGTTTAGGAGTACTCGGGCGATAATCTTGCCAGCTACAGACAGCAACGAGATCCAGCGGTTGAGATTCCACTAGGCTCTGCAGCTTTGTTGATGCCAACAAGCATTTCAGTTAGCCTATATAGGGTGGATTGGCGAATGGCAATGCGAACTCCATATATGCGATTTCTCTTCACAGCAGGCTTACCCTTCCAGAAGAAGGTATAGCCAGACCCCCTTTCTGTGAGTAGACCCTCGTTTGGGAGCCGGGACTCACTAATGGCTGCTATGTCGATGTTATATCTAGCCAGATTTCTTTGCCACAAGGGCGGTTCTAACTAATTGGACGCTCATTTGTGCCAGTAACCAGAAGGGTCCTAACATTCCATGCAGCGACCATAAGAGGTTGTATAGTTTGCTTTTGGTTTGATCTGTGATTATGATTGTGTTTTCGACCGCATAAGGATGACCTTACTGGGTGCAGTTGCCCACTCAGGTTGGCTCTTTAGGCAAGCTTTGTTTAGGGTATCTTTTCTAGCCCCTTTACCATGTGGGGTGAGCAGAGTGGCTCGTGGTCAGGGCTACTCAGTCATACAGGCAGGATCTAGATCCCAGTGTATAAACGACCATCTTATCTCCGCCGCCCATGAGCAAAGTTGTGACTAGAGACTCTCGGCAGTCGTCTCTGCCTGTTCCCGTCGCCACTCGTCCGTCTCCAAAGGACTTTTGGGGGTATAGGGGTTATAATGATGATTAGAAGTATGATGAACAGGATGATAGCTGTGCGTGAGTAGATTTATGTGGTGAGGCAGGAGCGCAGGCTGCAATTACAAATCTTAGCTCTACCTTTTCCTGATCCACTGGTGCAAGCAGTTGCAACCACTGGGGAGAAGGAGAGTTGCAATGGGCTACCGATAGCCCAGTTTGTTGGGCTTCCGTTTAATATCCTGTCCATTTTGCATTGCCTTCATCCGCCGTTGGGGGTCTTACTGGAGCTCAGTAATCATGTCTTCCTGATGCGGAGCTCTACCGCAGATTTTTCGTTTCGGGTTTATTCTCATATCTTTGTACCTCCGAAGATTAATCGGCAAGGCAGCGGGGCATTCGTTGGTAGGCACCCAGATGTGCCCACATGCCAGTGGGACTTTGCGTCGTCTCTCTGGGGCCCTCTGCTGCTCCAAGATCCCTTGCTGGTTTAGCCTGGGCCACGGGTACCCAGTAATTGTGTTGCCTAGAGGAGGCACAGCAGGAGTCTTGATGGTGAATAGGTTGTGTACTGAGAGGGGAAGTCTTATGCTAGTTGCTTCCCTGTTCGCTACGAGGGCTAGCCAGCGGCGGTAGCTGAAAGCGAGAGGAAGCAAGCAGTGAACACACACACACACACACACACACACACACACACATACCTCTCTGAAGGTGCCGTGTGTGATGATGAACATGTATATGATGTACAGGGGGATGCACACTATAGAAGAACCTGTGAGACACCAAGCCAGGACCAGCGCCCAAGGGGGCAGGTTGAGAGCTTCTGTTTCCTCCCCCAGAGCAAACGAGCAGACGAACAACACCTGCAGGGGGTTATGAGTTATTAGTGATGATTGTGGTAAGTTGTGGGTTGGTAGTGATGATGTTGTGATGTTGTTAGTGACGGCTATGGGAGGTATTGCGTTGTTATTGATGATTGTGATGAGCTGTTGGTGATCATTGTGGTAGGTTTTGGGTTGTTAGTGATGACTGTGATAGGTTATTAGATGTTAGCGATGATTTATATTGGAATTGATATTAATACAGTTTATTTAGCCAGAAAATTAAGATACAGAGTGGACAATGATATTGACATGACTCAGTCTATTGGGAGCCATAGAGGGAATGAGGTTGTTAGTAATGATTGTGGTAGGTTGTGGGTAGTTAATGATGATTGTGGTAAATTTTAGGCTGTTAATGGGGTGGAGGGGAATGAGGTTATTAAGGATGAGATTAATTAACAGTTTAATATATACATACCATTATTATATAGATATTGAGATATCACTTAACCACAACCTACCCTTTCCCTCCCCTGACAATATACACCCATCATCTGCCCCATCCACCCACACCCACCCACTATACCCTTCCCTTTTCCTCTACCTACACACACCCACCCACTATACCCTTCCCTTTTCCTCTACCCACACACACCCACCCACTATACCCTTCCCTTTTCCTCTACCTACACACACCCACCCACTATACCCCTCCCTTTTCCTCTACCTACACACGCCCACCCACTATACCCTTCCTTTTCCTCTACCCCACACCACCAGTATACAAATCCGTTTTCCTCCACCCATACACACCCGTTAAACCCTACCCTCTGCCACCCACATGCACCCACTATGTCTAGCACCCACCATCTCAAATACAACATTCCTCCTCCACTCCAAGCCTGTCACCACCCTCCATTCACCAGCATAATATCGCCCCTCCCTCTTCCCAAATAAAAAACTCTTCAAATCCACACACAAGACACATCCGCCCCTCCTCGACACACCCACACACCCAATAGCAGCATATATTGTACCTTCTTTCTACCTCCCCACCAACTCCCCATACCAACCATTCCACTCACCCTGTTCTCCCTTAACCAATACACTTTGCCACAAACCCCTGAAAGCACACCTGACCCTTCTACCCACAACACCCGGACAAACATACACACACACACACACACACACACACACACACACACACCTACCTCATCACCACTAGCAATATACATCCTTCTTTGTTCCCCACAACACAACCCACACAACTTCCTACACCGACACCATCTCTCTACACTTATTCCTACAAAACCATCGCTCCCCACACACCCCAACAAGGCCCCACACACTCCCCCAAAGCTATGCACCAACTACACCTCCCTACAACACTAACACCCACAACACACCACCCACACACAAAAGACACCACCCACATCTCAAATATATCACCCAAGGCTCCAAACACACACACCCCACCTTCTCACCCACATCTCCCCACACACCACCCACATCTCCCCACACACCACCCATACCTCCTCACACACCACCCATACCTCTTCACACACCACACACCATAACTCCTCACACACCACCCATACCTCTTCACACACAACCCATATCTCCCCACACACCAATCATTCCCTCACACAACCCATATCTCCCCACACACCACCCATACCTCCTCACACACCGCCCATACCTCCCTCACACACCACCCATTCCCCTCACACCACCCACCCATACCCTTCTCACACACCACCCATACCTCTTACACACACCACCCATACCATCACTCACCACCCATAAGTCCTCACACACCACCCATAACTCCTCACACACCGCCCATACCTCCTCACACACCACCCATACCTCTTCACACACCACCCATATCTCCTCACACACCATCCATAACTCCTCCCACACCCACCCATAACTCCCCACACACCACCCATATTCCTCACACACCCATAACTCCTCACACACCACACATACCTCTTCACACATCACCCACATCTCCCACACACCACCCACATCTCCCCACACCCACCCATACCTCCACACACACCCACCCATTTCTCTTCACACACAACCTATTCCCCACACACCACCCACATCTCCACACACACCACCCATACCTCTTCACACACCACACCATTACTACTACACACCACCCATCCTCCTCACACACCGCCCATTCCTTCACACACCACCCATATCTCCTCACACACCACCCATACCTCTTCACACACCACCCACATCTCCCACACACCCACATTCCACACACACCACCCATACCTCTTCACACACACACCATCCCTCCTCACACACCACCCATACCTCTTCACACACCACCCATATTCTCACACACCACCCATACTTTCACACACCACCCATCCCTCTTCACACAACACCCATAACTCCTCACACACCACCCACATCTCCTCACACACCGCCCATACCTCTCCACACACCACCCATACCTCTTCACACACCACCCATACCTCTTCACACACCACCCATACCTCATCACTACCACCACCCATAAGTCCTCACACACCACCCATAACTCCCTCACACACCGCCCATACCTCCCTCACACCACCCATACCCTTCACACACCCACCCATCTCCTCACACACCATCCATAACTCCTCCCACACCACCCATAACTCCCACACACCACCCATATCTCCCTCACACACCACCCATAACTCTCACACACCACACATACCTCTTCACACATCACCCACATCTCCCCACACACCACCCACATTCCCACACACCACCCATACCTCCACACACACACCACCCATTTCTTCACACACAACCCATATCTCCCCACACCACCTACATCCTCACACACCATCCATACCTCTCATACACCACCCATACCTTCTACACACCACACCATTACTACTACACACCACCCATATCTCCTCACACACCGCCCATATCTTCACACACCACCCATATTCTCACACACCACCCACACCAACCAATCTCCACAACCACCCATATCTCCTACACACCACCCATATCTCCTCACACACCACCCATACCTCTTCACACACCACCCATACTTTCATCACACACCACACATACCTCCTTTCACACACCATCCATACCTCCTCACACACCACCCATATCTCTTACACACCGCCCATATCTCCTCACACACCATCCATACCTCCTCACACACCACCCATACCTCCTCACACACCACCCATACCTCTTCACACACCACCCATAACTCCTCACACACCACCCATATTTCCTCACACACCACCCATACCCTCACACACCACCCATACCTCTTCCACACACCACCCATACCTCATCACTACCACCCATAACCCCCTCACACACCACCCATAACTCCTCACACACCACCCATACCTCTTCACACACCACCCATACCTCATCACACACCCCCCATAACTCCTCACACACCGCCCATACCTCCTCACACACCACCCATACCTCACACACCACCCATACCTCACACACCACCCATACCTCCTCACACACCACCCATACCTCTTCAGACACCACCCATATCTCTTCACACACCACCCATACCTCTTCACACACCACCCATATCTCCTCACACACCACCCATACTGTATGTATATTATGTATGCTGTATGTTATGGGGAATGGACAACTGCTGCCGCCATCTGGCCGCAGCCCAGTTTGGCTTGGTTAGGTTAGGTTAGTTAGGTTAGTTAGGTTAGGTTAGGTTGTCACAAAACCATATGGCGGCTGTAAAAGCGGCGAGTTTCCTGCGGCCAGTGAGGCTGCTGGCCATTCAGGTGGCTGGCAGGCCAGTTGTCCTAGACCCTATATTATGTATGTGCTCCATTTATATACACTATTTATTCAGCCTAGCTAGCAGCGTGTGGCATTGTATTTACCATGTCCACACGCCTAATTAATGTGCCTGGCGACATATGGGAGCTGTCAATGTATCACTTGCCACATGTCGCCTAGAGGCTAGTTGATCCCCCAGACAGAGTAAGGAGCGCCACCTCCCTTGTGTACCTTCGTTTATCCAGTAAATATTAACTCACAAAACTCTACAGGTGTTTGTGTTCGCTCCTGTAGATAGAACTTGATACCCAGAACACATGCATGGCGCAGTGTGTCATTATACTGGACCATTATACAAGTGAAGTGTAAAGTTTGTGGCAAGACTGGCTTATTAGGGTGTGTCCCAAACCTTCCAGGCATAAGATTCGAAATAGGAAAGATATCCCGAGCATAGCTCTGGCCAGCATGCGACACCACACTGGTCTCAGAGAAACTGCAGAGATAGCAACAGCTGCCTGGATTGACGGTGGTTTGATAACACCTGATGATGTTCACCTGGTGATAGATCATAACAAAGTAAGGAGAGCTCAGGAGAAACTTGTCAGTAACCTAGAAGAGGTTTGATAAGGGATAAGAGAAAATGGAATCAATTGTTTGTTCTTTGATGGGAGAAGGATGACACTAAAGTGTTCATGAAGTTGGAGATTCTGACAAGTTGTTCCTGCCATGGTGAAGGAGGAATACTACTCCTGCTGCAGTGAACCAGGAGGGAAGTATTTGTGGCATTTCACTCCAGAGAAAGATGACATCAGGAAACCAGCTGAGATAGTGGCAGATAACATTGTGAACTGGCTCAGAGAGGAACGTAGATCAGACCCTGCAGGCCATTGGAGACAGCACCAACACGAACACAGGGTGGCAGGGGGGTCATACAGTGGATAGAGCGGAAGATTGGGAGGAAGCTGGTCTGGATTGTTTGTGACCTCCACCAACGAGTTGCCACTCAGACATCTGATCCAGGGCTGGATGGCAAGACTCTCAAACAACAGATGGTCTGGTCCTCATGGCAAGATGCTGGACTCTGCCACTGAGTTAGAAATAAATCCGAGCTTTGGAAAATCACAGTTGGCCCTCCACTCGTTGAGCTTGCATACTGTCATTGGCGACCTGAGTACTGACCAGTACTATGGTTACATGATTTGCAGTGCCATCAAAACTGGGGTCATGCCTGA